GCATGCGGCCGCTACCTGGAAGAACACTCCCTGAGTCACTACCAGCAGACGCAGCACCCGCTAGCCATGGATGTACGTGAACTGGACGTCTTCTGTTTCGCGTGCGGCGATTACGTGTTGAACGATAACGTCGAGGGCGACCTGAAGCTCCTCCGAGGGGCACTATCTACAGTCCGCAGCCCTGGTCAGCGCTCCCTGCGGTCGTCAACATCCGATGGCGGAGTTAGAGTGCGCAAGGTTGCGCGGGACGGTGCTATGCAGACGGCGTTGTGGCACCGGCGGGAAACTCTCCTCCAAGGTGCCTTGTGCCGCTGGAGGAACCGGCAGCAGGAAGAACACAGGAAGCGTGAGGAGAAACGGGAACAAGAGCGAGAGGAGAAGCGACGGCAACGCAGGGAGGTCAAGAAGCGGCTCATGGGAGAACTAGCCAATGTGCCGCCGAGGAAAAGTGCACGGCTGCTCACCCAGGCTCCACGTCCAACACTCGCACTTATTCCTCGGAAGTTCCGTGAACCTCCGGAACGACTCCCTTCGGCTCCCAAACAGTCCCTTCTGTCACTGTCCAACAAACCCCTTTCACGCAAACCGCTTCGTAACGCGGGTCGGTTGCACCGATATCACACCTCACAGTCGTCGCGGCGCAGGAAGCTAGCGCCCGGGGTCACGGGACTGCGTAACCTCGGGAACACGTGTTACATGAACTCCATTCTCCAGGTGCTGAGTCACCTGCAGAAGTTCAGGGAGTGTTTCCTCACACTGGACCTGTGCGAGACCGAGGAGCTGCTCGCTAAGACCAACCAATCGCAGGGAGCCCTCACTGCGCTGGGCCGCTTGGGGAGGGCGAGCGGAGGCGCCTTTAGCAAACAGAACGTCCTGCCCAGCCTGAGCTCGGCGGAACTGGTGCAACCGAAAGAGCCGCGGTCCTCGGCTCGGCAGCAGATGTCATTGTGTCACGAGCTGCACACGCTCTTCAGGGTCATGTGGTCGGGTCGGTGGTCGCTGGTGTCTCCGTTTGCCATGCTGCACTCCGTGTGGAACTTGATCCCGGCGTTCCGCGGATACGACCAGCAGGACGCGCAAGAGTTCTTGTGTGAGCTTCTGGATAAAGTCCAGCAGGAACTGGAGTCGGACGGACCCAGGAAACACTTCCTGATTCCGATCACGCAGCGGAAACTGTCCAAACAAGTCCTCAAAGTGCTCAACACTATCTTCCACGGACAGCTGCTCAGCCAGGTGACGTGCAACTTACCCGTTTTCACCCGTGGTTCCCAACCTTGTTCCTGGAGATCCCCCAACACTACTAAATTAAACGCACCAAACTCAGGTCATCACCTTTTTAGTAGAGACTCGATTTTGGTTGTGAAAGGAGACATGCGAAATGTGCAGTGTTGAAGAGCTCCAAGAATGTGTTTGGGATCCACTGGTTTAGATGTTTCATCTTGAATTGATTGAATAAATGCATGTAGGACTAAATTACGGAGTGAATTATCTGCAATAATCAATGTTTCTAAACTGAACTTGCAGGTAACGTGTCTGTCCTGCAAGCACAAGTCAAACACAGTGGAGCCGTTCTGGGATTTGTCTCTGGAGTTCCCAAACAGATACCACCGCATGGAGAAGCCCAGCGCTGCGGCGTGTCAACAGAGCTGCTCGCTGTCAGAGATGCTCGCCAAATTCACGGAGACGGAGGCTTTGGAGGGCTGCATTTACGCCTGCAACTTCTGCAACAGTAAGTTGCGCCTTTCTTACAGACATCACAAAGTTGTTGATGCATTTATCTAAATTTCCTGCATTTTCAGGAAAGCGCCGTAAATCGTCCCATAAGCCCCTGTCCCTTTCGGAGGCCTGTAAGCAGTTACTCATCTGCCGTTTACCTCAGGTGCTGCGGCTACACCTCAAACGCTTCCGGTCAGTCAGAACACCTCCCATGTTTTACCTCGATATGTTCGTTAGTTGGAACCAGGGGCGTCCAAACTTGTTCCTGCACAGTTTAGCTCCAAACACAACTGAACCAGCTAATCATGATCTTCAGATTAGAAACTGGTTGGAGTTAAACTTTGTAGGACGTTGGTCCTCCAGAAGCAGTATTGGACACCCCTGGTTTGAACTCGCCTCATGCTAACGATTCCGTCCAGGTGGTCCGGTCGGAACCACAGGGAGAAGATCGGCGTCCACGTGGCTTTTGATCAGGTCCTGAATATACAACCATACTGCTGCTCGGACGCCGCTCTGACACCGCAGAGAGAAGCCTACACCTATGACCTATCTGCTGTAGTGATGCATCATGGGAAAGGCTTTGGCTCAGGGCACTACACGGCCTACTGTTATAACACTGAAGGAGGTAAGTCGCTCTTCCCAACTAGCGAACTGCGTCAGAGTCAATGTGGACTGCTCACAATTGGTGCGAACGCAACCCTCGGTGTAAGCAAGCAGCTTGCATGCTTCACATTTCTTGCAATGCAATTGCAACAGACGAATGCAAGTTTTACTTTGTGCATGTTTTGGCGGTAGAAGCAACACTTTCCATTGTTTACTCCAAAGTTATCAAGCTACAGTGTTAGCCAGTAGCACTCAAAGTCTGTGTTTGGGGTAACACAATTAACGCAAGTTACGTAACAAGATGACTTTTTTAAAGTAACTAGTAATGCATTACTTTTCAATTACTATAGATAGATTTTAGACAATTTTATTGGTGTACGTCAAAGTTGTTGTGCATGGTTTGCCACAGTAACGGTGTTTGCGTTGCAGGTTTCTGGGTTCACTGTAACGACTCGGAGATGAACGTGTGCAGTGTGGAGGAGGTGTGCAGCACTCAGGCCTACATCCTGTTCTACACGCAGCGTTCCTCTTAGACCCGTCTGTCTCTGTATCTCTCGCTCTCTTCTCTCTCTACCTGTTTCTCTCTGTCTCTTTACACTTTACCCAGGGCATTGAGGACCAAACTACACTCACCTGCAGGGTCCAGAACAGCAGGGACACACACACAGATCAGCCCCTCTGCTGTCGGCGAGAGAGACAGATGGACGCTCATCCTGGAGAGAAATGCCACAGCAATATGATCATCACACACTCTGAATCAGGAATTCTTCACCTTTGATACTGCGACTGTTTTCTACTCTCTTTCTATTCGGGACGAAATTCAGGAAAACAGAAAGCCTCTTCATTTACATCAGTGGTAAATGACGAACAATCTTATGACGCTGAATGTCTAGTTGTATGTATGTGTTTGTGTGTGGAAGGGTGTGACTGCTGACCTCGGACCCTTGACCTTTGTCCTGTATCATGAGAGCACCTGTTATCAACTTTATTGATTGTGTGGGATCTTCCTGATGATAGTGAATAAAAATAAAAAAAAATCATGAAGCCCTGAATTACTGTCTGCTTTATATTTGATGCACTTCATTGCTGATGTTTGAACTGATGAGTATACAGACAAACAGGTGTTTGAAATCTAAAACCATTTAACCATCTTGTTGAAGTATTATACATGCAGATTTATGCACTCACAGTAGGCATATACATGGAATATTTGTGTTTAAAAATGAATTTGTCACTTTAAATGACTTTTAAAGTATTAATTAAAATTCTTTTAAGTTGAGGAAAAGCTATTTAAAAAAACACAACAGCAAAGAAAAGACAGAAAAAAATATATATATTTGTTTACCTGCATGTCCTGTTCACTGAGAACATGTAAATGTGTTGATAAGTTAATGATCTATTAACTTAAAATCTCAGAAGGTGCTTTATATATTTTAGGTAAAATGGGTTTGGATGACGAAAATGAATACCTTACACAACGATGTAATTTTAACCTGAAGCCTGTTTGTTAAATAAGGTCATGGTTAACTACCCATAGCAATAATGATACAAGTCGCTGTTAAATTTGTTCAAACAACACCAATGAAATGGTGTGTAATTAAAAATGTATTTACATATATAATTTAAATGTAGGTGAATTTAATAAGTAATTATCTCACAAACACCCCAGAAAAGAGGAAATAATTCACTGTAACTTGCTGTCTAGGTCAAAAAATCTTGTCAGAATTAATTATATTCATACCCTCACAGCATTGTCAAATCCAGTGACTAGTTCTTCTTCAAAAGTGCTGATTTTAGTTTGTTGAAACTAGTCTTTGTTTCTTGGTAGAATTACTTCTAAACCAGCCAGTAAAACTGAAATTTACCGTTACGAAATCTCGCGCCATTTTAGCATTTAAATTTCCTCAGGCGGGTAGCCAGCAAACGGTCCGTGGACGCGACTATGTGGACGATGTATCTATTAAGGTAAATCTAAAATAAGATTAAATTTAAAATGATTGCTGTATAAGCAATATTAAAGCGCTTATCTTAGCGTACTACATCCGATATTAGCCATTCTGTCCTCGTTTCTCTTTTCCAAGCACAGTTTGTCAGACCAATCTTATTTACATAATGTTAATTAAAGAAAGCTGCTTCTCATTAGAAATATAATGAAGTGTGTAAGACATCCATCTGAGCACCCGTTTCATGAAGATATTTTGTAAATTTCCTACTGTAAATATATCAATACTTAATTTTTGATTAGTAATATGCATTGCTAAGAACTTCATTTGGACAACTTTAAAGGTGATTTTCTCAATATTTAGATTTTTTTGCACCCTCAGATTCCAGATTTTCAAATAGTTGTATCTCGACCAAATATTGTCCTATCCTAACAAACCATACATCAATGGAAGCTTATTTATTCGGCTTTCAGATGATGCATAAATCTCAGAAGGGTGCTCGCGAGCGCCCCCTTTGGCTATGTGCCCTCAATGTGCACTTTTGCCGAGTCCGCACTGGGGCGAGCTCCGCAACAGCCTTCTACCCCACAGTCAAAGCGGCATTACGTCACGAAAGTGTTGACTCAGAGGAAGACCGCGAGGGATTAGGGTGTGATTTGGGACAGGGCCAAGGTCTCACCCACTTCTGGTATGATGGGAGGGATGCGTCACAGTTAGAGTTTAAGTTCTGGACGTGTATTTTGTTCACGTTCTTCAGCTGGGCAACAGGCAGAGCTCAAGCCAATCCCAGTGTTTCCACAGTGTGACCAGGAAGAGCGCAAGGGCGAGGGTGGCGCCAACCCGGGCGCGCGTCTTCATGAGGGGCGTGATGAAGTTGGCCATGGTGGAGACGAACACCAGCAGTACCGCCATCAGGGCCAGGATGACGTTGATGAGTTTTCCCAGCAGAGCTCGGGCATTCGCGTTCTCCACGCCCTCCAGCTGCACCACCTGCTGCTGTTGCTGCTGCAGCTCCAGTTTGGTAATGCGGGTGAGGCAGGACTCTACTGCTTCCTGCATGCAAACACACACACACACACATTTGTGTTGTAACACTCAGAAGTGCCAAAAGTCATTGTAATTCAGAGTTTTTTTTCAGGGGTGTCCAATCCTGCTCATGGAGAGCCGACGTCTTGCAGAGATTAGCTCCAGCATGCTCCAAAACACCTGCATGAAAGTTCTAGCACAGGCCTACAGACTACAGGACTGTGAGTAGCCGGTGTTTTTCATTCGTGTTGAAGCTCTGCAGGACAGTGGCCCTCCAGAAGCAGGATTGGACACCCCTGCTTCTTAAGGTTGGGAACACGGCACATTTGCGCCCTCTTTGTTATTGTTGGTCACCTGGATGTCTCGCGCTCTCTCGTACGACTGGTACGCCACCTTCTCCTCCATGCTGGCCAGCTCCTGCTTCAGATTGCTCATCTCGTTCTGATGGAGTTCCGTCAAGTCATTGAGTTGCTCTTCCAGACGCTCGTACCTGGAGGAAAGAGAGAAGAAACACGCCTGAAGATCTGGCTCTGGAAAGCGTTGGATCTGCTGTAGGTGCTGCAGTCTTACCTGTATCGCTCCTCCTGCAAGCACTGGGTCATGTAGCTGTAGTCGCTTTGCAGCTGCGCTTTCATGTCCTCGATGGCGTCCTCCATATGCACCTGACTGACTTTGATCTCCTGCAGGCCTTCCAGCATTGTATCCCAAGAGGAAGACGAGGAGTGGTGGTGATGATGGTGGTGGTGATGTCCGTCCAGTCGCGGGCTGCCCATTGCTGCTCCCGCCCCGCCGGAGTTGCTACCACCTGCTGACCCGGAAGTTGCGCTGGAGCACTCGTCGTCGCTGCCGTATTTGGGGCTGGAGACCAGCGTGGCGCTGCCACTCAGAGCTCTGGGCGTCTCCTCCGTGTGCCCATCCTCCAGAGTGTCCTTCAGGTGGGCGATGTTGTCGGCGCTGCCGAACTTGTTGCGGATGAGACTAGCGAACTCTCGGGGTTTTGAGACGACGGCGGTGTGCGTGAGTGCAGAGACTCCGCCCTTGACTTCTTTCACCACGCCCCCTCCAAAACCACTGATTCCCGCTCGCATATTGGCACCTACGTCCTTCAGCCCCTGCTGCATGTCCCTCAAGACATCTTTGGGTTGCCGCGCAGGACCATTCTGCAGAAAAGAGGATAGAAGTCATTACCCTGGAAAATGCAGTTGGAAAGGGCATGCATGCATGTGAACTTACCTGCTCGATCTCTTTGAGTTTCTTGTGGTAGTGCTCAAGCTTCTTGTGCAAGTGCGCAATAGTCTGCGCAGACTTCTGGTTCTTCTTCTCAAACACGTGTTTGATGCGCGACGCCTGCTGTTTGTCCGCATTATGGGCCAGTTTGAGATACTCGGCCACATTATCATCACGGGCCTCCTGTTCCACGCGGATCTGTTCGGTGATCTTCAGGATCTTCTGCTGCAGGTGTTCCAGCGCCGCTCGTGTTCTCTGGACCTCGCCGCCTGCCCCGTCTAACCCTGCCTCCACGCTGATGTTCCCGTCTGACCCGCCATGGCTCACGGAGGGTGGTAGACTGAGAGTAGACACTTCGCTTTTATCCAGCTGCATGTAAACAATGAAAACATGAGCACATGAAGCTGAGTTGCGCTGTCATGCTAACAGAAACATGAAACATGCACGTAAACATCTCATGTGAAACCACACGCTAATTTTAACACCCTTTGTCATGCGCAGCAGATGCACGAGTGAGTGGTCACATCTGTTTACAAGCTGAACAAAAACTCACACGCTCAGAGTGAGAGGCACACAGCGTGACCCACTTTCGTTCTGAAAATATCTCTACGTGCACAACATCACACTAAATTAAGAAATGAAATCTGCAGAAACATCTATAGAAGTACCGGTATTTCAATGTATAAACAATATGCATGATAAGACAGCACTCACTATAGAATAGTAGCTATGCATCTGAAATGAATCATTCATAAATGCAACGTCACAATTCACTCCCCAAACACGCTGGATGAGTGAATGTCACGCGTACACAAAAGAAAGTGGCAGCAAATCTCAACCTGCAATACCTCGTCTGTAAACAAATCAACGTGCATCAGAGAATGCATTTCACATGCATGAAAAGATGCATGCAACCTTTCCAGAGCCCTGCTGCATATGTGTTCAGAGTCGCACTGACACAGCAGGGTTACTGCAAGCCATGCATCTTCACATGCATGCAACAGAGTCACGTAACATGACACAACAGCACACTAGAATGCGTGTTTCTCTGAGACGAGGTTTGTTGTGTTACATACACATGCATGCACATGAGGCAGGGTTCCAAAAAAGGTTAGCGCAATCTTTTAACGCATGTGAATCTGAGTCATGTTACCTGCCGAGAGCATGCGCGTGTGTGCGCATATACAGGCCGCTGATGGACACATTTATAAAGTAGGTTGAAGCTAATCGGTGGGGGACAGAAAACACACACACACACACACACACATGCATGCAGCGTGAATCAGGGATGTGTGTCAAATGACAGTGGTCGAGTTAAACGCATGAGAACAAATCTGCAGCTGACTTGTGACATGCAGAACAGCGCGTGAGAGAGAGAGACAGACGGGTGATGATGGACAGATGGATGGATGGATGGATGGTACAACACAGGAACAGAAGATTAATTTGCGATAAATTACCATGGTCTTCAGTCCAGGGCATGCAGCTTGACTGCAGAGACGTGTAAGAGGGCCATATCCCTCCTGTCTGTCTCTCTCTCTCTCTGTCTGTCTGCGTTCACCCCACCCCTCTCCTCTAGCTGTCTATCTCTCGCTCCAGTCTGTCATGGTTCATGCTAGAGTCAATATCGGCTGCGGTTTCGTGTCTCTCATCTTTGTCTCACGTTTCTTTCTCGTCTCTCCAGTAGTGTGTTTGTCTGAGTGTTTCGACGCGGCTGCAGAGCAGATGAACAGAGGGGGAGGGGAGTTCAGCGGAGCATGCGTCACACACACACACACACACACACACACACTGCAGCATGTACAGGCACACACACTCTGAGATTAATCTGTGTGTGTGTGTTTCTTTTCATTGTGTGTTAATGAGAGTACAATTGGGGAGTGTGTAGGTGTGTGTTTTCACAGTGATAAACACATTTTTAAGGGGTATGCGTGTGTGTGCGCGTCAGTCTCATAGCAACACACTTCTTAACAACTGGGTCACTATTATGTTGAAGAACAGTACCTGCTACGTTCACGCGTGTGACGCGCATCTGAGGTGAGTTTTCTTATTTAAAGGAATATTTCAGGGTAAATAACACAATAGGCATCTGTGGCGTTCGGTCGATTACAACACAAAAATAAGGTTGATTCGCCCCTCAGTGTGCATCTGTAAACTAATGGGAAACAGAAATGCACTTAATGCAAAAATAAAAGTTTGAAATACGCAAAAGTCACCATGAAATTTCAAAATGTATTGAATTAATTTATTTATTGAATGTTCCTGGTCTGATTGTGAACAATTGTTTTTCTAAAGACAAACTTCGAATTTAGAACTGGCTCCGCCTCCTTTACAACCGACGACGTTACCTAAGCAACTAGCCTTAAAAATGGTGACTAATAGTTGAATATCTATGTAGTCATAGTTTCCTAAATCTAGCTAATAGTTAACATGGTAGTTTAGTGCCATCTAATAAATTGCGATACAGTAAAAGTTAACATTTGTATTTTTAAATACAGGTTATTCAACATCACGTGATGGCAGTAAAATGCAATTTCATGTTGACCGTGAACATGTTAGCTTGTTAATATAATTCACTTACCAATCCAGAGAAATGGTCAATTAGCACCACAGCAGCAGAAACCAAGTACCCAACTAACAAAAACATGCTCTAAACGTTCCCATTAATTTATTAAATTTTATTTTTGACGTTTTAGTGACGTGATTGTTAAATTTGAATGTTCCCTCAACACACAAGTAGTGTTCGCACAAAATTTATTTTTTATTTAGAATCAACAGATTGAATATTTAGGGGAACGATTTATTTGTACAAATCAATCGCACACACCAGAGTTTCTCTTCATAAACGGCTTTATTACAAGAACAATTAAATGTCAATCTACAATACAATATTTATCCGTAAAATAAATACAGCATATATTCTGAGCACTTTAACAAAAACAGACATGTGCAAGCTACACTACTCAAAATAACAAGTGCAATTCTCCATCAACGGCAAATAATCTGGATATTAAAAGGATATTTACAGACAGGTCGCAGAAATCTACAAGTATCAAGATATGAGAACCATCACAGAGCAAGAACAGATTCAGTGAATGTTTGCTGAAACTTAACATATCCAACACTCAATTAGTGAATGTAGAAAGCTTAGTGTTCATATCTGTGATTACGTTTATTTCAAACAAACGTTAATGGGATGTTACTTGTATTTCCATGACTACAAGTAAAACTGAGAGTGTTTGTAAATATGCTGTAGCTGCGTTCACGGAACGCAAGCAGAACAAATTTCTCTGCAAATTCTTCGTTTAAACATTCATGCACTAACTCCCGCACTAAATTTAACGCAATTTACAAAGAATCTGCAGAGACTTCATTCAGCTCGTGTTTCGCAAACGACGCCAAGTGTTTACTTAAATAAATCTACATTGTAAAAACGTAATTGCAGCTCCTTTACGAGAGTGGTGTAATGGCAGCTTAGAAGGGTTCGAATTATAAAGAACTTTTATGTGTGCAAAAAACAACAACTTTGGCACCAAACGTTAGTTAAAATTAGCTACAAGTATTGTGCAATGAAGCAATACATTTGTATACATGCACACCGAAAAAAATCAGTGTTTTATAATCTGTCGTGTTGTTCGTAATTAAATTTTGTGGTACCACTGAGAGACAAATTCTGAATTTTTTCCAGAATCTTTTCGCCCCTCCACAAAAATCCTAGTGGATTTAAAAGGATTTTAACACATTTTCTTAAACGTAAATTTGTATAAATGTTAACCGTTGACATGCAAACATATAAACAGTAAGAGGAATGACAGAGAAACAATGTCCTATTAATGAATAACATTCAAAAACACATGATTGAAGATGGAAAATAAGTTGTGGAACAGTCTGTTGTGTGTTTCTTGATTCGGTCCATGACCCCCGCACAGTTCAAACAGCGCGACCGCGACAGAAAACTGCTATAAATAATTGTTTAGAGTTCTTGAAAGGATGAAGGGAGATGACAGTGTGGGAAAACAGAAGATCTACTGAGAAGAAGCGGTGGTTTACGTCAGTTCTCGTGTGTCCGTGTTATGAGGAGACGAGTCCCGACGAGACACACTAGCGTTCCTGAGTCTGTGTGTGTGTGTGTGTGTGTGTGTGTGTGTGTGTGTTATTGTCCTGATTTGCGGGGTGTGTCCACCGCTCTCTTCTTCGCCTGGTAGAAATCTGTTTGGATAAGAGAGAGGATAAGAATGCTTCTATTATTAGTCAAACTCTCATTCACGCCTCAGCTCTCAAAACATCCAGGTCATATTTCACTCCTATTCAAACCATTACATTTAAAACATTACAATTAAATATCACATCATTCACATATCAACTACACACACTTGTGTCTAAATTCTGATGCAACAAAAAATAAAAATACATTATGCATTCAAATGTTTAGTTGTAACCTTCTTCAAATGTTTTTTTTTTTTACGTTTTGCAGTTTTCCCCACATTAATTAATATTAGATACGAATTACTTGATAATACAATGATTATTTAAATCAGCATAAATTACTGTTGTTAGTGTTACTAAAGGTAAAACTAAAAAAAATAAATAAAATAAATATAAAATATAAAAAGATGAAAGACTAATATTTATTATTAAAGACAAAAATTAACTAACTAAAAAAATATATATGTTTGAGTTGACGTGCTAAAATTACTAAAACTGAAATAAATGAATGAAAACTATATATAAATGTTTTAAAAACAAAGAACAAAACGGGTCAATCCTATTTTAAACTACTTTAAAACTATTAACAAGTCACTGCATTGTGCATTATTCACATGATAATTAAAAACGGTTTTCTCTAAATTCTGATCTCATTATGCATCTAAATATTCAGTTTTGTAACTTTCTTTAAGTTCTAGTTTCATAATGATTATTTAAATCAGCATTAATTACAGACTGTTGAATTTGTTACTAAAACTGAAACCATTAAAAAAACAAAAAAGTTTCTGGTGACTGAAATATGAAACGAATTAACTATAAATATTAGATGAAAAACTTAAATGTTGCCTTGGCAACTAAATGAAATAAATACGTTTGAGTAAAATTAGTAAAACTAAAGCTGAAATAAATTTAAAGATAAATAAAACTACTTAAGTTTTAGGCATTAATTTAAGTTTGAGTAATTTAGCTAAATTAATTGCTTAGTAAATTAGTAGCTTAATTGCTGAAATGTACTAAATGACTAATACAACTAAAATTATATAAAAATAAAGCTAATTTACAGTTTAAGCTAATAAACTTAAAAACATTACAATTTAAATACTGTTTAGATATTTCATTCTTTTGAACTGCTTATTTCTGAGTCTTAAAGGGTTAGTTCACCCAAAAATTAAATTAATTTAAATCATTAATTACTCACCCTCGTGTCGTTCCAAACCCGTAAGACCTTCGTTCATCTTCGGAACACAATTTAAGATATTTCTGATGGAATCTGAGAGCTGTCTGACCCTCCCATAGACAGCAAGGTAACTACCACGATCAAGGTCCAGAAAAGTACCAAGATGAGCGACAAAGTCGTCCGTGTGACATCAGCGGTTCAACCGTAAAGTTACGAAGCTACGAGAATACTTGTTTGCGCAAAGAAAACAAAAATAACGACTTTATTCCACATTTTGACATCATCACGCCGGATCTGGGTCAGCGCCGGCACACGCTCGCATCATGATACTGTCGTGAACGCGCGTCCACAAGTGACGCAGTAGAGACGAAAAATTGTGTTCCGAAGATGAACGAAGGTCTTATGGGTTTCGAACAACACGAGGGTGAGTAATTAATGACAGAATTTTCATTTTTGGGTGAACTATCCCTTTAAAGGTTCTAAACATAACATTAATTTTCTACAGATTTTTGAGATTCATCTATGAATGCGTCTCTGTTTGGCTCCGCCCATCTCACCGGTGATATTCGTCTGTTTCCTCTTCAGCTCTGTACTCTTTTCTGGCGTTTTCTCCACGTCCTGCGGGACAGCGCTGAATCTCTCTGGGGTTCTGGGGATGTTCTCTTTACCCACGCGCAGCCGCGGATGCTTGCCCTCCTGACAGGCGCGGTACAAGACGGGCACCTTTTCCCCGGACACCCACTCCCACTGGAAGTCTCCGCCCTCCAGAGGTGTCTCCGAGACGAAGTCGAAGCTCCAGCGGCGGGATGCTTCCTCCAGGTCCTTCCTCAGAGCGTCGCGGTACTCCAGCTGAAGCTGCTCGCGATCCACCGGCCCGAAGAGGTTCCGCCGCGTCGGGATGTTCCCGAGAGCTCGCAGGATCCGCTTGTGCATCGCCATGAGCTCAAGCTGCAAGAAGACACGATTACAGTCTCTGAACAATGTCAAACTGCATTCAGTGTCTCAGTATGACATCAACAGAAACGCAGCGAAAGCGTGTCCTCCCTGACCTGTCCCGGTCTCTCACAGTCATGTCTGAGCGTCTCTGTGCTCTGTATTTAAAGGCTGAAGTGAGTCATGATCTGCTGCATGTCTGGGCAGATCTACAGGGACATGTGAGGGCATGTTCCCCCGGATCAGACGGGAGTGCAGTGCATCGTCTCACCAGCAGAGGGCGCAGATACTGACCGCCGTCTAAATAGTGCACTACAGTTTCAGCTGATTCATAGTGAGAATTAACACTGGATTCTCTAAATCAAGCTTGCAAATATTTCAGTTTTGTGACTGTAATTTTTTAAAATTTAATTTAATATAAGAATTACTTTTATAAGAAAACCAGCATAAATTACTGACTGTTGTTATTGTAACTTCTTACATTTTTGGTGACTTAATTAGATCTGAAATAAAATATCAGATGAAAAGCTTAACATTTAAAAACTCGAGCTTAAAATTAAAAATATTGCCTAATGAGTTAAAGATGGAAGTATCAAAATAAATTAAAGCTATAAATATTTTTAAAATAATAAAAATGACAAAAGGATATAAAGTAATAAAAAACCAAAATTAACATGAAAATTAAAAAGCTAATTCCAAATATGAATAAATACTTATGTTTAAAAAAAACTTTAATATTTCCATCATATATGACTGATGTCTCACTGTTTATAAAATGTTCTTGTGGCTCATGAGTCACATTTTATCCAATAAGGAAATTAGTTGTGAATGTTTCAGGAAATCACTAATTCTGAAGAACTTTCCAACCAGAACCCAGACGCACTGAATACTCCTACAGAACTGCTAAACTAACTAAACTACATATTATACTTAATACATATATATATATATAAAATGAATATATAATATTAATCTATAATAGATAAATTTTCCAAATAATTTAGCCAATACCATCTTCTTCCATGAGGAAACTTGTGTTTTAATATATATATTTTTTAAATGATTTTTAAAAAATAATAATTTTCCATCATTCATGAATACATCATGACGTAGTGACAGTACACGTCACTGGTTTCACTCACTGCGGTTCAAGACGGCGGCGGGAAACCTAGCGTTTGTTTGATTGGTCAGAAGGTAAGCGGACACGCCCACTCTCTCCTCTGTCCACGTGAACATGAAGCTCGTGTAAGCCGGTGTTAAACACGTCGCGATCAGATACTACTGACATTTCGCTTCATACTAACATTCAAACCGCGATCAAACATCACTCAATCACGTGCCACGACGATCTGTTCCACTTACAGGGAACGTTTTTGGTTGGAGTTCGTCTAGATACGTTTGATTTTCTCGATTGTTATTTTAAAGAAACTCTAAAGAGACTTCAGACTAGTTTTATAATTAGTTTCCATAAACCGAAACCAACAGTGTTATGATAAACTTCAACAACTTACAAGCAAACGTTATGAACGTGCAAAAACGATGCGACTTACATGTTTTAGCAGAGCAGAAGAGTGCGGAAGAGTCAAAGGGTGAGCTCGCTGTTTGCAGGATAAGTGTTTGAGATCCTGGAAGACAGAATCGAGTTTAAAACAGAACTTCAGAAGAGTATTGAGGCGAAAGTGTCGCGTGAGTCAGTCCTGGAGCGGAGGAACAGTAGAGTCGAGACGTTCTGCTGCTGTGACGGGACTTTCTGAACTTTATGAACTCCAATGGGCGTGCCCACGCTGGGGGCGGGGCCTCGTGAGCGCAGCACGTGGACTGAAGCCCGGTAAACACATGACAACACGTGAGCGCATGTGCCAGGACATTCCGGTAGATCTGCGTCACAGAGAGGAACAGAACGTGCGGATCCACCCAAAACGTGTTTATTTATTTATTTATTTATTTATTCTTTTTTTTTTTTTTTTTGTATACTGAATTAAAAATTAAAAAAATAAATATACAATTATCAAGTAAAAAAAAAAAAATAGTACTATTCTTCAACATACTGGATCTTATAACATGAAAACTGTAGACATTTTTTTATTTCTTACTGTTAAGATAAATTATCAGAATTATCCTGAAACAACATATAGGCTTTTTAAAATTATTTATTTTTATTTCTTAGATATTTGATTGTTAATAACACTCCCAGCATGACAATCACGGTGTTCTTTTACAACAGGATATTACAGACGAGCAGGACTAAGCCACGCCCACTTTCTCTCAAGCTTATGTGAGAGTTATTAATAATCAAACTAATAATCTACATCATATAAAAACTTTAAGTAATAAGCAACACAGGCTCACAGTTCATTGTATTTTAATCCTACATGTCCAGACCATTGTAGTAACATAATTATTACTAGTGAGATTGGAAGCCAATTTCTGCCACAGGATAAAATAATAGTAATAATTAAGTAATTGCAACTTTTTATCTCACAGTTCTGACTTTTTTTCGCAATTCAATCAGAAACTCGCAATTGCAGTTTACATTTATTTATGTTTATTTAAAGTTTATATTTATTTATTTTTTAAAATCAGAATTGTGAGATAAAATGTCGCAATTACTTTTTAAATTTTTATTATTATTCCGTGGCGAAAAGGGGGGGAAAACCAGAATTGAGAGATATAAACTCAGAATTCTGGTGGAAAAAAGTTAGAATTGCGAAATATAAACTCAGAATTGTGAGGAAATTCTTGGTTTATATCTCGCAATTCTGAGTTTTTTTTTCCCCTGCAGAATTGGCTTCCATAGTTAGAGTAATATAGTTATCATTGGTGACAAAAATTACCCAGATTAATAGCTAACAGAATAACAAATAATCAAAAGATTTACTATAGTCGATTTTGCACAAAAAAAAAAAAAGTAAAGGAGGAAAATAAACAAGACGAAGAAAACATGGCCACAACTTAAGAATTTGTTCCCACTATTTATCAACTAATTTCCTTGTTTTAAGTCATAGTCACTTTGTAGTACGAATTTGTTACTATTAAGTCGTGAAATCATCGTTAATCGTGAAAGTAATTTACTCACCCTCATTTCATTCCAAACCTGTATGACTTTCTTTCTTCTGTTGAACTCAGAAGAAGATATTTTGAAAAATGTCTCTGTTTTTGGTCCATAATCAAAGAAGACCATGATATTGCATTTGATAAAGTACATTTTTGTAAAAGTGAATGAAATAGGTTGTTTTGCAAATGTATTTATTCTATACGAAACATATTTAATACATAATAAAATAATAACTGCCCTAATTTTGAGCCAATAAACACACAAACAAACCAATCAATTAAAAAATAAGTGAACTAATCAGTCACAGCGAGGAAGCTCTTTGTTCACTAATGAGACTAAGAGAGTCCATCTTTCCCACGACAATCAACAGTCCCGTATTCGACAGGAAAGGCCTTTAATTGGTGTTAACTGATGCTGTTTAATTAATGACCGTTAGCGTGTTTGCCGTTTGGCGGGAGTCTGACAGAAAGGGACGGTTACAACATTCCACAGCGCGAGGAAGCCCCGCGAAAAATCAGCGAGTCACTCAGGCGCGGGAGCCGTGAGTCATCAGAGCGTGACGTCATGGAGCCTTGAGTAACGCGAGCGAAAGCGCGGGTAAGTTTGAGTGTCTATGAAACCGGTTCATTCATTCGGATTCATTCATTTTAAAGGAGCCTTTCCTCACTCTGTGATGAATTAATGTGACTCAGTTAAGCTGCAGTCGTATGAGCTCATATAAAATGAAACATATGGAATATCTGAACTTTCATAAGCTAATGTATCAAACCAAAATAACTGCTAAAATGGTGGATAATGTAAACGTTTCTCAGTAGATTGGGTGATCCATCATCATCCACTCATCACAAAGGATTAAACATCCAGGCCTCTGTCAGCAGGTTACATAACATTTGTTCGGAAAAGCGAGTACTCATGAAGGATTTGAACCTACAACATTTAAGTTAAATCGGATATTTTAACCACTACACCTCACCAAACCGGAACCCATCAGCACTTTTTCTTCAAAAATTACTCCGCGTTCTATTATAAATGTATGAATTATTCTGTCAAAGTACTGATATCAATCCAGCTTTAATTAATGGGTTAAATTATAGCACTATAAACACGAATATTTAATAATTACATCAAGTGTAGAGTCTCTAGTTGACAAACTTTGGATTTCAAAAAGGAAATCTAAACTCTTTAAAGCAATACAGACAACAAATGCCAGTCTTTTTTTTTTTTTTACATACAATAATAATAGCTAAGAACTTAAAGGAGACATATGATGCCCCTCTTTACAATATATAAGTATATAAGTCTCAGGTGTCCCCAGAATGTGTCTGTGAAGTTTCCGCTCAAAATACTCCACAGATCATTTATTATATCATTTTGAAAATGCCTATTTTGAGTGGAAGCAGAAACACGCCGTTTTCGTGCCTGTTTCTTTAAATGCAAATGAGCTGCTGCTCCCCGCCCCCTTTTCCAGAATAGAGCTGCGCCATTACAGCTCGGACCTGCTAAAAACATGTTTTGGTTCTGATTATCATGTATATCGCGCTGAAATCATGCGTTTTTTAAACCATACGAGTTTAAACTACTGATATAGGGTTTTCTGAGCGCACACATCTGAAGCACACGCACAGAAAGCGGCTGTCACAGCATGTGAGTACTAAACTAAGTTCTCATTCACACACAAGTTTATGTTAAAAACACACACGAGTTACAAAAACAGTGGGTTATGTCTGTGAAGGTAAACAGCTGGGAAATAAATCGCTTGTTTATTTTAGATCTGTGTGGCAGCAGCAATATACAGTAAATACATCAAAGGATAAACTCCAAGTATCCTATGAAATCCTACGGGAGTCTTTAATAACATATCAAAAAGCTGTGAAAGCTGCCAAGTCTAACTATTTTTCTGCGATAATTTCCAAAAACACCAATAGTCCTAGGACTTTGTTTAATATCTTGAATTCTGTTTTTAATCCAACGGGCAATATCTGTCTTGCAGAGTCTTCAACTTTGTGTGAAGATTTTTTGTGGTAAAATAGAAGCAATTAGACAGTCCATTATTTCCTTTACTGATGACCCTTCAATTGTTCTTACCCACTTTTTTAAACTGATTTTTGATAGCCTGAATTCTTGAAATTGTAAATAAGAGCCTTCTTTCTGGGTTTGTTCCAGCTTATTGTAAACATGCAATGGTGAAACCTCCGTTGAAAAAGCCTAATCTGGAACGGTTTTATCACATTTTAGGCCAATCTCAAATTTACCTTTTATTGCAAAAATTTTAGAGAGAGTTGTGTTATTACAGTTACAGACTTTTTTGGAAACAAATAATACTCTTGAAAAATCATAGTACTGAGTCTGCTCTTTTAAGAGTATTAAATGACATTTTGCTACTTGTTGACTCTGGGAACTTTAGATTTGAGTGCAGCTTTCGATACAGTTGATCATGGCATTCTTTTATTGGCATGGCATTCCTTGAAAAATGTGTGGGCATCCAAGGAAGTGCCCTAAGCTGGTTTAGATCTTATCTTAGTAACAGAACGTTTTCAGTAGGCATTGGTCACGCTGTTTCATCTGTAGCTCCTCTTACCTCTGGTGTTCCTCAAGGCTCTATTTTGGCTCCCATCTGGTTTTCACTGTACATGCTTCCACTAGGTTCAATTTTTAGGAAGCATGGAGTGTCCTTTCATTTTTATGCTGATGACACCCAAATCTATTTACCTTTAAAACACAATGACAAGAATGGTTTAGAAACATTGCTTGCATGCTTAGCTGATGTAAGATCTTGGATGTCTAAAAAAATGTATGCATTTAAATGAGGGAAAGACGGAAGCAATTGTCTTTGGACCGTCTGTGGGTAAAGGAAAACCCACTTTTAACTGTGGTCATTTAAACTCTTATATCAAACCAACGGTGAAAAATTTGGGAGTTCTTTTTGATTCCTCCCTAAAGTTTGAGCAACATATTAACTCAGTAGTTAAGTCATGTTTTTTCCATCTTAAACCTCTGTCAAAAGTTAGATCTTTTCTATCTTTTAAAGATCTTGAAAGAGTCATACATGCTTTTGTTTTATCACGTTTGGACTATTCTTTTTATTCTTGCATTTAATTCATTATAATTCTTGGTCTCATTGGCTCAAACTTTCGCCATGACGTTAGAGCTAGTACACTGTTGTCGCTTGCGAAAACACAATGATGGCGCCGCCGTGGGTGTAAACTTACAGATTAAGGGGCGGTAATATTATAATGAGATCCCTTTGCCACGTCACCAAGGGAGCGAAATCAGACGCTTGCAGAAAAAGGCTTCCCAAAACAAAGTTACTGGGTTAATCTTTTTCACGTTTCCTTGCTTGGTAGATGCACCAGGGACCTGATTAAAGCACTTAAAACCTGGAAAAAACAGATTTTCATGATATGCCGACTTTAAATAAATCATAACGATATTCTGATGAAGACTGGTTTCTCAAGAGTTAAAGCTCTTGTTCGCCCTCTGCTGGTGCTCCATCACAGATACAGGCCAACTCTGCACATGATCTGTATGTTTTAATTGTATTTTAATTAAAAGTAGTTGTCCCTTCTTTATACTTCTTAATATATTATATAATGTCTGTCCCTTGTCAAATCCCTCAGAAGAGCGATCTAACCTAAAACAAGCAACTGAAATGCAAACACTTGCTAAATTAAACCGGTCACAGAAACGAAGCTCCAAACTAATATGCAATAAAACCTCAAACAAGGTTCAGAAGTCATTATTTTAATATTTAACCAGGATCTGTGAACTACACTGAAAAAAAATTGCTAGTAAACTTCACAATTATAAAGAAATGGCAGGTAACACTGAATTAAATGTTAAAATTGTGCAGTTTTTGGTAATGCACTCAAATCGATTTATTTTTGATAATTTTTTAGAACGTACATAAGGAACAATACGATTTTTACATTTTCAAAGATAAATAAATGCTTTAAACTATGCTCCTTGTTAGGATAAAATAATCTGCTAAAGAAGTACATGTCAATTAAAGACTCACTGTAAAATGGACAATTTAAAAAAATACAATTTTTAAAAAAAATTCATAAAGAGGCCAAAGCATTTTTGTAATGACTTTTAATTCAGATCAACATTATAAACAGTACAAACACTACAAGGAAAAAAAATGAACAAGAATGAAAGCGGCTCTCCATTCCACCCCCTGCTGCCATCATAGTGCGGTTACCCCCCCCTTTTCGGTTTTCAACAAGCTAGAAAAGGCGAAGGGGAGGACGGCTGGCGGCCGGGGAGCAGAATTGGCGGGAAAGTGCAGGCCAGATGCTGCGAGCTGATTAGCTGGCTTGCGGATGGGGGCTGGATGTAGTGGATTTTTCCTGCTTTTATTGGTTAGCCGAAGGCTGTTGCTGGTGGTTGGTAGTGTAGACATTGGGGAACGTAAAACGCTGATTGGTCAGGAATGTGAAGTGGGCCGCTGCCGATTGGGTGTTAAGGTTGGAGGAGGAGGAGCTGACAACGGCATGCTCAGGAACCAATGGGCTGGTGCGAGCTGATGACTGGCAACGCCTGGGTCATGTGACACCAACCCAGCCAGCTGATTGGGGCACGCTGGTCACATGATGCTGAAAGAAGACTAGTAGACTGACTCAGAGGGTGGTGAGGAGAGGCATGGTGGTGACTCTGCAACGGGGTTCATTTTTATTAATATAGATGATAATAAAATAAACAACCTTCATGTAAAGTTAAGTCAATAAAAGATTGCATTCCAACCATTACTAGAGCCGAGCAGATTACTGAACACTAGCGACTGGGCTTTGACGTCCAATTCACAAATTAGCAATATTAAAATTAACGTCCGGGTCAAACTTCAACCCAAAAATCAAAAGAAACAAAGCCACTAAAGGTTTTCTGCACTGAGACCTAACGACAATTAATTACATTTTTACATAATGTTTTCTCATTCATCGACGCTGTAATTCTCATTACCATCACACAAAGATAAATTATCATTTACAATTTATATTACGTTAAATTTGATTAATGCGATGTGCTTATTAATTGACAAACCAGAATTTGCGCCAGAAAATTCAACCCAATCTTACGGGAAAATGTAACTATTTTACGAGCTGCCGATGAATTTGTAGAAAATAAAAAAAAACATGAAGCCCCGCCCCCCAAACAATTAAAACTATACGAACGAGATCTTACGAAAACACACGAATTAGCCACTAATTCGCCAAAGCGTTAAATATGAACTTGTGTTGGATAATCGTTACAGCAATGAGAATTTAGGTGAAACATGTGCCAAGTCACAATGCAAAAAATCAAGCCAAAAGCGTTTAATTTTGGAGTGAAACATAACCCGGACATTTTCTCAGGGAATTTACCTAATCACTTACTGGTCTGCATTTCAACAAAATATCAGAATTTGAGAAGCCCAGTCAAATCATTGTTTAATGGATATCAATGACAATGAAGATGGAGGAGCAAAAGATCTCCGGCAGACGCTCGTCAGAACCGGGACACCCGGCACCGGCGGAGCCTCCAGGACTGGCGGGAGGGGCAGAATCAGGTTAGTTTCCTCTGGAACACAACCTACGGAGAGACAGGCGAGCGGGAAAACAGGTTTACCTGCGCCTGGGGGCGGGGCTGCTGCGCCTGCGGTTGTCATCGCGTGGGCGTCGGCTCCAGGACGGAGGCGGACCCCGGTTACGAGAGCGCTTCTCGCCATTGGACAGCTCCACCCTCACTCGGCAACCGCAGAGGGTCCTGCGTGACGACGTCGACAACGGATCGTTAGCTCAGAAGTCGCTGGGTAATGGCTGATGATTAGCGTTATAATCCACACTCACCGTCCGTCCAGCTCTCTGACGGCGTCTGTGGCATCGCGAGGGTCCTCAAACTCAACGAATGCAAAACCGGGAGGGTTCCTGGCCACCCAGACGCTCCGCAGGGGTCCGTAGTAGCCAAATGCCCTCTCCAGTTCGGATTTGTTCCCATTATTTCCCAGATTCCCAACGTACACCTTACAGTCCAGAGGGCAGTCGCGATGCATGGCTCAACCTGCAAAACACAACACATAACGCTTCACTTTCCAACTCATTTCAATAACAAGGCCGAGTATCTCTAGGGAAAGACATGTTAATGCAATGAATGGAGGTGTGGCTGCTTTCGGTCTCCATCGCCTCCAATACCTGTCTCTCTCTTCCCTCTTATTACAAGCCTATTTCTCTCACTGTTGCATGTGCATCCCTACTGTTGCATATTGTCTAAGCGTAACACATAGCCTAATTGTTTATTAACACTGCCAAAGGATTGGTAGATAACCTGGATACAATAACAAAAGCCTTTCAGAATCACTTTTAAGGTGTATTTACACAGTCAAGTTAAAGGATTAGTTCACTTCCAGAATAAAAACGTCCTGATAATTTACTCTGCCCCATGTCATCCAAGATGTTCACGTCTTTGTCTTCAGTCGCAAAGAAATGAAGGTTTTTGAGGAAAACATTCCAGGATTTTTCTCCATATAGTGGAATTCAATGGGGATCAACGGGTTGAAGGTCCACAGTTTCAGTGCAGCTTCAAAGAGCTCGACACGATCCCAGCCGAGGAATACGAGTCTTAACTAGCCAAACCATCGCTCATTTACTAAAAAAATAAAAAATAAACATTTATATAGTTTTTAACCACAAATGCTCGTCTTGCACAAGCTGGATTCTTAGTAAAACCTCACGACAGAATCTGTCAAATATAATTAAAAATTTTTATACAAATTCTTAGTAATATGCAAACATAAATGTAAAATAAAAATGTTTTGATCAATAAGTCATGCACTCTTAAAAAAAAAAAAGGATGTTACTTTTTAATAAATTTTTTGTGTTATTTATCAGCCAATCACATTGCTGCTTGCATCACTTCAAGAGTCGCTCAAGAGCAAGTTTCCTCACACTATAAAGTATATGAGAGTTTGCGGTGTTTTTATTGCGTACGTTTGATCAAAAATAACATACTTGACACCAATTGTGTAACTATCACATTAGTGTAAAAATGAACAAACTTTCTGTGTTAGGAGGAATAACACAAAATGTTATGTCCTTATCTAGACAGAGGTGTGTTAAGAAACATCACAACACTCATGTTTAAGTCAGTTTAATTTAATTAAAGTTGAAAAGTTGATTATAGGCTACTTAAAATTAAGCAACTTTTTTTTTTTTTACAGTGGATAATTTCCACAGTAGAGGTGCAACAACACGAAACAAACGTTTAGAATGATAACCTAAATATAAATAAATAAAATCACAGAAATTAGCGTAGCGAGCTTTTTTTCGGTAATGTCTAATAATTGGTCACTGTTACTCAAAAGACAACAAGAATATTGCATTTGTAATGAGCAAACTGTGGGATCTCCAACATTACTGGGTAATTAAAGTAAACAGTAATAACAATAAATACCTACATTTATCAGATAGGCTAATCAGAATATTCTATACATAATAAGCGCCAAACATCTCATAAGGAAACCATTCTTAGTAGTAGGCTAACATATTAGCAGACAGCAGCAGCATTAATGTTTCATTTCTTTTCTATACAAGCATTTAGATGCTCGAGATTTAGATGCTGTGACCCCTGGTCACCGATTTCGGCCGTAAATATTTAGTTTATACATAGTTACACTTCAACTATGTGTAATGGTGCAACGAAAAAATATTTAGTAGTGCAAATTGTAACTTAGTTCCCATTTACGTCAAAACTAGGCTAAGTTGTAATTTACGTACAGCTGGCGTAACCGGCTCAGAAGCGCCTCTGAGGCGTTATAGTCGCGTGACAAAACGGTTTAATCTAATCTACTAAAACTACCAAACATCCTAGTTTCAACAATTCAAAACGTTAATCTAAAAAGTCACAAATATGACAATATAAGGAGGGAAAAACTGTAAAATGCGTATAAACGGAGAGCGTCTTTTGTTCGCTGCTCAAAATGGCGCATGACGATCACACGCGACTGAACACAAACGACACAAACGATCTCTTTAACCGACAAAAACAGTCTGGAGCCGCTGTAAATATAATTACGATGACTGTTAAACTGATACATGTAATTAAAGCCTCGCGGTGAGCGGCTAATCGCTAATCCGGGTCAACAGTAAAATGGCGCCTGCAAAAAAAAAAACACAAATGAGGCGAAAACGCAATTCCGTCTCCTAACGCTCGCAATTAAGCGTCTCAAACATCAGAATCAAGCCCACTACAGGATAATAAAAGCCGATTTACCGTGAATGTCGCCTTTTGCTGACCGTGCGTGTTTGAGTCCTGGATCAGATCCGCTCCGAAATGGCGCCGCGCGGAAATACTGACGTGCTCACGTAATGTACGTCTCGACGCACGCTCGTGGGCGGAGCTTCAGACTACGCGTCTGTGAGCCCGGAGAGAGAAGCCCTAAATGAGTTCATTAATAATCACATTAGAACTAAACGTTTTAAAGCAAAATGCACGATTTTTAAATACAAAAAGCCACAGTGTTGTTTAAACACATGTTGATTAAACACAACTGATGTGATTATTTAATCTATGGCTAACTTCCTCAAAAAAAGGAAAAAAGGAAGGAAGCTATTCTTGAAGGAATAGCTCGCCTTAATGAAGATATTTGGTGTAGAAACTCGCATTTTTTTTGGTTTCCTGTACTAAAGCACTTAAATCGATCATGAGATACACAAAAACCAAAAGGGTTTGCTGTTACTCACGTCAAACCAAATGCACCATTACGAAAATTAACAATGGTTTTACTACAAATAAAGCCAATAAACCATGGTTACTATAGTTAACCACAAATTAACCAGGGTTTTGCTACACTATGGTATTTGTAGTAAAGCTGGTTATACAAATGGTAATCAATACGCCCAAAAAAAACATACTACTCTTTTACAATAATTAAACCATGGTTAATTTTCATAAGGGCTCGAGGTGCTAAATTTGGACTGAAAAGGACCATCGTACTGTAAATTTGAGGTTTGTTGCTCAAAAAAACCAATCATATGACTTCAGCAGACTTGGAATATAGTGCACAAGTCTATTTTAATTGCGTTTTAATTAGACCTCAACATGCTGTTTGGCTACTGTAGGCCAATATTCTTCAAAACATCTCCTTTTCTCTTCTAGAGAAGAAAGAAAGTCAGATTTGGGTGTAAATGGTGACAGAATGATCATTTTGGGCGAACTATCCATTTGCAGTAGTAGTTTTGTGGGTTTGTGGTCATCTGGGCGGTTGCTAATCAGAGATGTTTTACTTTGGAGGAATCATCATCACTGACATCCCCATCAAGCGCTCGCATTTCTCACCGTTAGAAACCACATCCCAGACGTGTTGCTAGGGCTGTGAGAGTCTTTAGCAGCGCTGCTGACGTGGAAGCACACCGATGATAATGCTACGTTTTGAAGTTCTAGCGAAAAGGCATTTTAACTAGAACAACTACGGCTTTATCGACTGGGATTTTTCCTTGCAACAACCAACCTGCATCAGTTTTTTACTCTCAAACCTCTCCAATTCTGTGACTCCTTTCAAACTTTTCTCATGCTTTTAGTTGAAAACACAGCCTTTCTCAGCAGATTCTCATTTTTGATGAGAACTTGAAACCCAAAAGAACTCAAATTTGAATCCCAGCCTTTGAGCTCAGTGAGGATGCCAACCTGTGAATGAGAAACGGAATGAAACCCAAAACAACGATTAATCAGTAGTTTGACGTGACGCATCTATTATAAATGACTCTGTGGAAGCAACCAAAGCATATCTGATAATTGGGAGCCGAGGAGGAGGCGGAGGAGCTGAGGCCACCAGGGGTCTATATAAACCCCGGGATCTGGCCGTCTGTCAGTCAGTCATCTGCAGGAGAGCAGACGGGAGCGAGACAGCTGCTCAGAAACACTGACACACTCAGAAAGTTAGTCGGTTCATGATCTGTGTGTTAGTTGTGTTCTGATGAAGGTCTGAGTCTGTGTTTCTGTTCTTCAGCTCGAGGTGTTTCAGTGTTCGGATGATGTTGAAGACGCAGAGATCTCAGCAGCGCGTCGCTCTCATGATACTGATGGTGGTCGCAGCCGTGCAGAGTCAGGAGAACGAGAGGTTATCTGTCTAACTAACTAACTATCTGTCTGTCTGTCTGTCTGTCTATCTATCTATCTATCTATCTGTCTGTCTGTCTGTCTATCTGTCTGTCTATCTATCTGTCTGTCTGTCTGTCTGTCTGTCTATATCTATCTGTCTATCTGTCTGTCTGTCTGTCTATCTGTGTCTGTCTGTCTGTCTATATCTATCTATCTGTCTATCTGTGTCTGTCTATCTATCTGTCTGTCTGTCTATCTGTGTCTGTCTATCCATCCATCTATCTATCTATCTATCTATCTATCTATCTATCTGTTTGTCTGTCTGTCTGTCTGTCTATCTATCTATAGCTATGTTTCCATCATCTTGTTTTCAAGTGCATTTTGAAGTATCGCATCAGAAATGGGTGATAGAAACGCCAAATTTCTGGAAAAAAATCCCTTAATTTGCAAAAATGTTAATTCGCTCGCTTGAGGTGATTTTTGACTTCTTTCGAATAATGGGAGCTGGAAATGCATTTGCTGAATAAATTCCTCCATGCCCATCAAATAGTCCTGCGACTTTGCGCTATGGTACGGCATTACCTGACTAACCAGCGGACTGATCTTATGGCCATTCTGAAACACCTGAGCAAAGCCGTCAAAGTATGTCTGTATAACTGCTTCCAGAACTGTCTCACGAGACTGCGTTTCCATCTCAGAAAGCAGTGACCGCATTTATAGTGCTTCGTCTGCTCGCGTTATTATATAGGAAAATTATTGGGGCAGTCGTGGCCTAATGGTTAGAGAGTTGGACTTGTAACCCGAAGGTCATGGGTTCGAGTAGGTGGTGTAGGAGGTGGTGTAGGTGGTGGTGGTGGGGGGGGGTTGACCCTTGACCCTGTGTGTGCAATTATATTCAGTGGCTTCTCCTACATTTCTTAGTGATATTTAGTGCTAGTTTATCAGGAAGTGACTCGCTGGATGGAAACGGTGCTGATTCGCAAATGTTTTATGCGATATTCCAGTTTTGCACATAAGTTAAATTCGCAACTTTGGATGGAAACCCAGCTTGTGCATCTATGAATTTCTAATCAGTGCTGTTCGATCATCTGCTTGTCTCATGATCATGAAGTTTTTCTTTGTTCTGCAGCAGACGGGCGGTCACAGAGCATCAGCTGATGCATGATCGCGGTCGCTCCATCCAGAGTCTGAAGAGGCTGATCTGGCTGTCCAGCGCCATCGAGCGGCTTCACACCGCGCAGACCCGCACACTGACCGCCGGCGAGCCGGACAGGAGGTGGCACTCTCACGACCCGGCGCCGCTCTATTCTCAGCCCAGCAGCAGCCACAAGAGGGCGCTGGAGACGCTGTTGAGCGACATGTACAGACCTCACCTGACCGCTGCGCTCGGCGACGGAGAGAAATAACATCCTCACAAATATACCATCTGATGTCCGGCGAAAACTCGCCAATGACTGTCCGACCCTGACTAGAATGAGGCACAACGTTACCCAACAAAACTAGATCGCTGTCATTATGATCAACGAAACATGCTAGTTTCGTAAAGATAGGTGTATTGATTATAACGTAACCTTGATAGCACACGTACATCACAGAGACGTCTGTAAGACGTGTTTTTTAGAGTGTTTGTTCATCTGCAATACGTCTACAGGACGTCTACTGATGCTTCCTATCAGATGTCAAATAGACGTTTAGAAGATGTCTTTAAGATGATTTAGAATGAATGTAAAACTGACATCTTAGAGACGTCTATCAGATGTTTGTCTTACAGACGCACCTGTCCCAGATAGCACACGTACGTCTGCAAGAGGTCTGTTAAAGATCTGGAAAGCATCTGCTGTGTACAAACATCTGATAGACGTCTCTAAGATGTCAGTTTTACATCATAAACATCTTAAAGACATCTTCTAAACGTCTATTTGACATCTGATAGGAAACGTCCTGTAGACATATTAAAGATGAGCAAACACTCTAAAAAATACGTCTTGCAGACGTCAAATAGACGTGTCCGTGATGTACGTGTGCTATCAGGGGTGCTATCTGGGAAGCGATTTAGTTTTGGCGCTTTCTGCTCATCCGTGATCTTCACCTGCATTCCCGTGCTGAGTAAATCTGCCTGTAAGTCTTTAAGATTTATTTAAGATGTATAAAATGTTGGTGCTTGGACGGGTTTCAAATATCTAGTAAATCATCCTTGCTAGTATATTTGTTTATATGGATGTCAGATCGTATTTTTGATTTATTGTATGTGTGCGTGATTAAAGATGCTTTTCAGTAAACTGCTGTCAGAACTCATTTCGGATGAAACCGTTCAAATGTGCTGAAGTGAATTTGGTGTTTGTCAAACATAAAACGAAGCATCGCACACAAAAACAAGACATTTGTTTTCGTTTTCCAAAATAGTGAAGGTAGTGCATGTAATATTTGTATTTATTTATTGCTTGCACAATATTTCCAACTATTTCAAATACAGCTGCAACATTATTTTCAGTTTACTACATCACATTTCACAGCGCTCGGTATGAATTTGTGCTCTGACCGGCGTGAATATAAAATGATAAATAAAGTGAAGCTGAAGTTCAGAATATAAAACTGTATGAAACATGTCGCACCAAAACAGAACGTACACGCAAAGTGACTCATTCAAACGTAAAACTAATTATTCAAAAAGTATAAATCCTCTTCACAGAAATACAGGAAACATAAGTACTAAATGAATCTGTCAGTATTCTAGTATTTGTTGTGGATTTTTCTTGGGTGCGGCCAATGAAGTGGAGAAGCAGAGTTCCAGATGTCAAAAAATAAGACTTTATTTTTTCATTTTCACATAATACTTCAATAAAATTACACAATATATTTAACGCAGAAGGTTAAAAACAGTGTTATTGGCGCACATTTCTCTCTCATTCACACAAACACACTCTCTTCACTTCTGGACCAGTGTTCGTCAGCTATCGCTTCCTTATGCTGCAAAAGATTTAAAAAAAATAATTGCTTTAATTGACAAGAATAGGTTTGAATACGCATTTAAACCATAATTTTATGTATGTGATGAGAGTCAAATTTTAGCTTAGCCACATGCTAACGCCAAGCGCACGTGTTTGTGTGTTTAGGATGGTAAATGAAATTTCGGCCTGTGAAGAGTATTTCAAATCAAACAGTCAAGTGAGTATTTTTACTAAAAAATAGTAAAAATGTGGTATTTTATTGCAGTTGTATTTTAGTATTTTTATGAACATTTTTTATTTTGAATTTTCATTTTAATTATAGTTAGAGTTTTAGTAATTTTGTCGTCTGTTTTTGTCATTTTTATTTGTCTTTTTTAAATGTCTAATAGTTTTTCAAATAAATTTTTATGTCAGTTTTATTTTTTTTTAAAGTAATTTTACACCAAGGTAAACTAAACGAAAATGAGAAATGTTGCCTTGGCAAATAGCTGAAATAAATTTAAAATAAAATAAAGCGATTGTTCCGGTGCTTGATTCTGATTGGCTGAACCGCGTTCGAAGCCGTAATTAAAAATTAATTTTAATTGTAAAATTTTTTTATTTTTTCAGTAAACGTTTATTTTATTTCAAGTAACAGAATTTTAAAAAAAAATAGTTTTAGCGTTAGTGGACTATAATATCCCTGTTTCAGTGTCAATAGTTGTGTTTGTTCGTGTAAGTGTTCGTTAAAGATCGTCTCTTACATCACTGCAGGATCTCGGCTAGTTTGTCTTGGTAGTACTCGTAGTTCTCCTGGCAGTCCTCCCAAAGTGTGAACGTCTGCTCGTCGTTCTCCACGAACGTGTCCCAGGTGTAGGTGAAATCCAGCGGCTTCATCACGCGCAGTTTGCAGCCGGCGGCCGCCAGCGCCTTTAGCCCCGCCCCGATCTCAGGCTCCTCCCACTCGAAGAGCCGCGCGGAGTAGACGGACAGATGGAGGCTCTTCCTGGCCTTCAGGATCTCGGCCAGCTTCACGGCGCAGGCGGCGCACGGGCTGGACGACATGTACCAGGTGACGGTGTATTTGAGGGCGGGGTCGTAGTCGGGCAGGACCTGCTGGAAGAAGGCCTCCTCGGCGTGGCCGCTCACGTGCTCGTCCTCGATGAAGCCCCTGAGGAGCCCTCCGGAGCCGGGCCCCTGGTCCACCAGGTAACACAAGAAGGTTTTGTTCCGGCCGGAGGAGTACTCCACGTTCTTGAACTGGAACTTGAAGAAAAACGGGTCCATGCGATCCCTGTGGACACATGAGGAGGTGAATTCAAGCCCTGCACAGCGCCCTCTACTGGAGCCTCCTCGCATTACACGATATTTTCACTCATGAAAAGTATATTTCCCATCAGTCCAGAGTCTGCAGTAGGGCTGGGTTAAAAATATTGAATTCTTGATTTCGATTAACCTGATATTTATTCCCAAATCCCATGTTTTCAGTTGCATCAGATCATATTTTACCGACTCCCTCGTTCAGTTTCATTCATCAAAACGAACTAATCTTTATTCAGGTCATTTCGTTCATTTGAGCGGTGTGTTATATCTTCAACAGCCAAATTCCCTGAACATGTCGACCTGTGCATCATACTCCGAATTATGAAATCATTATAATGCTGCCAAAGATAGTTTATGAGGAACAAAAATGATTAAATGACAGACACAATCGTTCACGGACGACAGTTGATGCATGAACAAACTTAATGAAAACTTAATGAAAGATTATTTGTAGCGCGCCTCCCATCCAATTAATCGCTTTTATTTCAGGAAAGACATTCACGATCCATAAACTCAATAGTCTTCACTCAGTGACTTGTTTAGTAAGATTTTACCAGAAAAGTTATTTTAATCATATATTAATTTTAAAAATCTCATATAATTTTAACTGCTTTATTTTACTGTTTGCTTGGTTTCTACTTTAACTCTTGCATTATTGCAACTCAGTTTTTGCCATGAAGATAGCCAAGCAATAAAAATAAATAACTACCACTAAACTCCATAGTCAGCTAGACGAATGAACTCTAGAAAGGAGCATTTTGATAAATATATACACTATATTGCATAGTGCTTACATTTTTTGAAAGACCCTTTATAAATTATATGTGTTTGAATAAATCGTAATCATGAAAACGAGTTATGACATCCACTGTTTAAATGTTTGTATTTCAACTGGAGTGAAAACATAATTATATCATTAAAACGTTATTATAATACATTTTGATTATTAAAACGGCCTTATGTGCGATTTAAATGTTTGTTTACAAATCACTTTCATAGAGTAATGTACCAGCTGACAGGGTTTATTGTATATTATAAAACGGAGAGTTCCGGTGCTTGATTCTGATTGGCTGAGCCGCGTTCGAAGCTGTTGTAAATTACTCTACAAAGTAACATACACCTTTGTTTATGTTTGTCTGTTGCTCGGCAACCACTTTGTTGCAACCACAACTGTTTCTGAGGAGCTACATTGTTTGGTGGAAGAATACTGTTTTTATTAATATCATTACACGTTATTTGCTCGGTTTTATTTTGTTAACCTTACTACGTATATGGAATAATATACGCTTCGCGTCATGCCTAACAACGCCCCTTAGCTGTTATAAATTCACTGTAAACCACGGCTTCACGGGGCTTATTGCTTTAGTTTACAGCATTAGCTGAGAGATATAACAACATATACTGCACCTGATTGCCTATATAACCAAATGAATCAATATATCAAATCAAACCGAATCGAATTGAAGCTTGAGAGTCACAGTCGAATTGAATCGTGAATTCGTCTCAATAGCCAGTTTCTGTGGTTGTTTTTAACAGCTCCTCCACCGGCTGACAGATGGAGGGGCTGTTAGGGTTATAAATACCCTCGACGGGGGCAGAACTTCATTCTGGGACTCTGATCCATATACAGAACCCACGGTTTGGAGGTATTGTGCTGCCAGATGAACCGGATTCAACTGTAACAAGCACCTGCCACGAGATGATCCACAACAATTCACAGCTTCAATGTGTCGACAGAATCAAACTCATCAAGCACGTTTGGATTCATAAGCGTCAGTTGGAAATGGAAATATCTGGACTGAAAGTGTTAAACCCTGAACGCTCAACAATATTGCCAAGACACCAATCAGAGATCTCAGTGTGAACTCAAACAATTCTCATCGGATCCGCTCCACTTTGGTTTCATAGCTCTAGACCAGTAGCGGTTTTTGGCACGGGCGAGCCGGGCAGTTGCCCGGGGCGGCATTTCTTCATGATACATGGGAGGCGGCACGAGCAGTTAAAAAAAAACAAAAAATCCTCTGCGCCGTCGCCGCGAAGCAGTTTTCTATTATCTATCATTTCACTGTGTGGGGAATTGGCAAATTGGCGCCCCTGCTTGCTGAGAAGTAGACTCTTACTGGATGATGACTGGGTTGTTTTATTTCGGTTTGGGAGTTTTAAGAGAAGCAGGAGGTTGATAGCTAAATCAGATGTAATTCCAGCTCCAAGTCAGTCTGATGGACTGTAGCTTCGGTCAAGAATCGTCTTCTTCTCAAGAACCATTTTTGACGGTTTAGAGTTCTTAAAGGAACACTCCACTATTTTTGAAAATAGGCTCATTTT